GGACCAGTATTATTGGTCGAAACGTCGTATTTTTATTAAATAAAATAAAATTATTTGCCAGCATAAGTTGTTTGAATTCTGACTATTTAATTGAATGTTCAAAACTTTTATATATCTAATATCTTTATTATCATAAATCACGAGAATAATGTATAAATGAAACTACATATTTTCATTCCAAACAATTTGTCTAAATTAATTTGAAAATTTATTTTAGTGAAATAAAGTCCATAACGCGAAACTGTTAGGAAACACATTTAAGAAAAGAAATGTAGTTACGTAATTGAAATAACAGTAAATATAAACTGTTCATGTACCAAAAATTCCAGTACATTTATTGAAACAGATGTTATTGATACGATTGAATTTGAGATGAAGATAACGAAGATAAAAAGTGATAAAATTAGGAAAATTATTATATTACTGTGTGACAAATAAGAAGAGATAATTCTTCAGGTGTTCATGTACAAAAAAATCGAATATATATGTATATATTTATACGCCACCATATCCAAAGGAAATTGCGATGGAGATGATCAAGACCAAATGCGACAAGAAATAATAAAGAGAGAATCAGGTATTAATACACAATGCAAAGATCAACAAAGGGAAACATAGTAAAAACTTAAATTTAAAAACAGGAAAATACAGGGAAACATAATAAAAATGTAAACTTAAAAGAGAAAAATATATTTACGTAATTGAAATAATTGTAAATCTAAACCGTTGACGTACAAAAAGTTCCAGTATATTTGTTCAAACAGATATTATTGATTCGACTGAATTTGAGGCGAAGATAAAAGAGATAAAATTAGAAAGGAAAGAAGAAAAAAGTAGTAAAAACTTACACTATTGAATTTTTAAAACAGTATAATAAATTTCTGTTAATACATATGATCTAATTTTCTCAAGATTCCAAATCTATAGAGACAGCTCTTTCCGTACATGTATTTTTCACGTGAACGTTTAACATAAAATGATTAACAGTTAATTATATTGTTTCCATAGCAACATTTCATTACGGTTAGGATTGAATAGATCGCATTAATCGATTATTCATATCCATGTCGACTATCAAACAAAATCATAATGGAAGAAATTCAAATTATATACAAGGTGAAAAAAATGTAACAAATATGGGCGTAACAATATGAAAGCCATCGAGTATCGGACATTTTCAAAATTTTACGTTTGGTATCTTTAAAAGACTTACAAAAATCATTAAATATTGCTGAAAGCTTTGGACTACTATTAATATAATTTGCAATTTTTCTGAGAAATTGTTCACAGAAATCTGGCATTTTTGCGCATGCAGTGTGCACAGCCAATGCGGCTGAATGGCAAGGACATGGAAATGTTAATAAGTTTCTGCATTTTGCTTCGAGTTTCTTTTTAAACAATACATGTTTTTCTGTCATTACAGACGCGTTGTCACATGATAGGGCAATAATATTGTTACGCTCCGCGCGCGTCTTCGCGTTCGCCGATCGCCGTGTCACCGCGCTCACCGATCACGCACTCGGTTCCCGAGGGTGCCGGCACTCCTCCGCGCACGTTCGCGTCAAAGAGACACACCAGATAAGATGAACAGGAACTTTATTACAATGGCAACACGTCCGCACGGCTCGAGAGCCAAGCTTCCAATCTATCGATTATCTTAATAAACAACAGTTGCCCATCGGTACCGTGGCAACCCGCCATGATACCGGGCGCCGCTTTCCATCCTTGAGCATGATTCTTCGCGAGCGTAACAATATTGTTGCGTCTCCGACGCCGCTGTCGCGCACTCGAGCACCCGCGTACCGGCACGGCGCATCACGGGTACACTCACGCGCGTGATAATGAAAGCGAGAGACTTCGTAAAGAACGAAAAAGCAGATTTATTAAATCACAGACGTCCGCCCGGCTCAAGAACCAGACTTCGAATCCAAACAAAACAAACATTAAATCAATATCGTTCATTGACATCGGTATCGTGGCAACCCGTCACGATACCGGGCGTCGCATCCGAACCGTCGCATCCGAATTCAGCACATCTCTCATGACGGGCGTAACAATATTTAAAAATGGAATTTGAAATTTAGACATTTCAGTTTCAAAAGCATTAAATAATTTTTCTGCACTAAACTTTCTCTTTAGGCTTCTTTCGCATGCTCGACTAACGCTGCTACCGTTCTCTCCCTTCTTTGTTCCCAGCGTAGAACCATTTGTGCCCAGACATTTTCCCAGTCTTGTTGCTGCGTCGTCCTGCGTGGTCGGCGATTATGCTTGCGATAATCATGCAACACATGATCACCACCTTCAGCAAATCGCTGTATCCATTTGCGGACTATTCTGAGAGCAGGGAATATCATCAGCAATTTCTGCTTCTGATTTTCCTGCCTGCCACTGTCCAACTATGTATGCGTATACATTATATCTAATCTGAGCACTTATTGATTCTTTGATCAAATTAATTTGTATATTATATGTATAACTGTGTGTATAATTACATATCTTACACATTTGATCACCTTTACTTATCCCAAGTGCAAAATAATCGTCATAAAAGAAAGAAATAATATGGACATCTTTGGCGCAAAGATGTGTGTTGCGGCGTTTAAAGATTTTTTTGTATTATATATATTTTTTATTATTTTTTATTACATTTTTTTATTACATTTTTTATTCTGATTTTTACAAATTTTTCCACCTCTTCTCTTAGTTTGCGTGGCTGCTTCCTTTTGGTGTAGCTCGGTTTGTGTTGCGGCCTCTTTCCTCGGACTCACTGGTAGTGGAGAGAGAAGGTCTGGGAAGTCCAGGAATTCCTCAATTCCCTCGAGGATCTCCGGCGTTCCAGGACGAGTCCTCTTGGTCGGCAAAAAGGTGTCTTCTTCGGGAGCTCGGAGGATGTCTGGTTCCTGGCGGCCAGCGCCCTGTGGTGTCGGTTTTTGGCGACTAGCGCCTGGAGGTGGCGGAGCGCCTGATGCTTGGCGACTAGCGCCTGGAGGCGGCGGAGCGCCCGATGCTTGGCGACTAGCGCCTTTAGGCGACGAAGCGCCTGCTGTTTGGCGGCCAGCGCCTTTAGGCGACGAAACGCCTGTTGTTGGGCGGCCAGCGCCTTGATCCTGGCGACCAGCGCCAGTTACCTCGTCGCTCAAGGACCTTTTCTTGGTTGAAAGTTTCCTTGGGCGAGTTGGTCGACGGAAGACTATTTCTTCTTCCGAGGAGGGGGGGGGAGGAGAATTATGCTTCTCCTGGAAGTCGTGATTGATTTATCGAGACTCCCTTTATGCTGAGGAATTACTTTTTTTTCCTGAAAATCCGACGTCGATGGCTCTCCTTATATCCTGTTCTTCAACGAATTTTAAAAGCGAGTTTCCTCGAAAATTAATCTCCCCCTAGCGGATTAATTAATTAATTTGTATATGTTGCTAAGCAACTCCTTTGAGTAATCAATATTTCATTCTGTCAGTAATGTGACAGTTTAAGGGTGGCTGTCACAACTGCCACACATCTAATTTATAGGTGCCATCTGTCACTGATCCAGTACAAATAAGTTTGTTCAATTTATTGTGATGCATCTCAGCAAAATTTGTTTTTATGTAAGCTTCAAATACTGTTAACTACATAATACATGTTAAGATATACTAGAACAATAATGAGAAAGTAATAATTACTTTATAAATTAAACTAGCTTTTTCGCCCGCGCTTCGCGCGTGCTCAAAAGCTAGTAATAGCATGAATCAGATTATATTTTAGATCAATAATAATGAATCCTGTGTTATTCCATAGTCATTTCTTGGTATTTTTATTCCCTAATAGAATAATTTTTGCCCCTTTTTTTCATTCGATCAACTGGCATTCCAGATGGTGTCACTGACTTTAAAAACTCATTTGCGAAATTCTTCTCCGTAAAATTTGCAATTTTTTTATCGGTTTCACAAAATCCGACCATAATCTCCCTGTACATGGAAACCCCGAAACTTATTTTGAAAATTTTTTTTTGATTAATTTTTTTTCTTCTCTAAACTATCATTTCCACACCACCTTGTGGTAGATCGCTTGGCGCGTTTTTTTTAAGTGGTTTCCCCAATAGACCTAATTCACTCTCATTATTCTTTATATATACCTTCTAATCTCGCGCTTTATATTTATCGTTTTTTTTTATTAATCTCCTGAAATACTCTCTCCGGCGCACTTTCCTGTTACTTGTTTATTCTTTTTTTGTCTTTACGCCCCGTGCGGGTGAAGCACGCGTTACGTTGCCTCAGTACCCCCTCCCGTTACGCCCTCTTTTTCTGTCAAAGTGCTATCGAATCGGACGTGACCTGCGTACTCTGCAATACTTATCCTTTCCAACCATCTCTATCATTTTGGATTTAATAATATTTTTTGATCATTTAAATACCTTTCATCACCCATTATTGATTTCCCCTCAATTTTATTGTTCGTCAATTTATAAAATTTCTCGGTATACAATATTTTTCGTAAATATTTTTGAACTTCCCTCAATGAGATGCCCTTGACTTTTGTCCTCAACGACCTTAACTTTGACATTATTTCTTTGTTGCTCTAGAAAATGCTACATACAGTTGTCCATGTGCAAATACGGGATTTTGCAAATAAATCCCAACTTTTTGTAAAGTTTGTCCCTGTGATTTATTGATTGTCATAGCAAATGACACTCTAATAGGAAACTGTCTCTTTTTGAGCTTAAACGGAATTTCCGAGTCATTTGGACGGAAATTAATCCTTGGGAGGAAAACAGTTTGACCTCTTGCAGGGCCAGTCAGAACCTCCGCATGAATCAAATTAGATTTTAAATCAATTACAATGAATCTTGTGCCATTGCATAGTCCTTTCTTCGTATTAAAATTCCTTAATAGAATAATTGTTGCACCTATTTTTATTTTTAGTCGATGAACTGGCATTCCAGAGGGTGTCAAAGAGTTTAAAAACTCAGTCGGAAAATTCAATTGTTCCTGTGGATCATCACTCATAATAGAGTCAATTGAGAGATACTCCTTTTCATCTCCTTCCATTAAACGAAGGATTTCGTCATTTATTTTAAACGTATCCTCATTCTTAGGACAAAGAATTGCTCGATCTTGATTTTGTCGAACCTGTTCCATAGTGATTCTATCTCCAAAAATCTCTGTTATAAGAGATTGTTCTGATATAAAATCCTAAGGAATTTCTATTGTATCAGGATTTAATTCATCCATATTTGACAATTTACCATCGCGTTGCAACAACCAATTTGCAAATTCTCTTTCATCTCCAGTTCTCATATTTTGCTTTAGTTTAACTTGAATTGCATTTCTCCATATAGTATGATATTTAACAGTCGACTCAATTATCGCTGCTTTTTGTGCATGAGGCACTACAGGGAGATTTTGTCTGAAATCTCCTCCAAATAAAATAACTTTTCCTCCAAATAAACTTGGATTCTTCATTAGATCCCTTAGTAGTTTATCAACTGCTCCTAGGGCATGTCCTACAGTCATACTCACCTCATCCCATATAATGAGTTTTGCAGCAATCAGTTCTCGCGCAGCTATAGAGTTTTCTCTAATATTAGATTTTGCACCTTCATCAATTGGGATGGACAACTTGAACAGTGAGTGATAGGTTCTTCCTCCCTTTAGAAGTGTGGCAGCAATGCCAGTTGATGCACATGGAAGAACCACCTCTTTTCTTCCTCGGATTAATCTCAGTAATGTGTTAAACAGGTACGTTTTACCACTACCAGCAAACCCATCAATACAAAATAATCTCTGAGGTTCATTCTCATTGTCAATTGCTCTCATGACTAAATCATACACTTTTTTTTGTTCCTCATTTAGTGTTGATAATAAATCGTTACCACGTTGCCTTTTCTCTTCCACATTATATTCTGTCATGTAAATATTTACCGGATATGGATTTGGCAATTGAAAATTTACACAGCTGCTTCCATTAATTTTCAGAATTTCCTCTATATAAATCAAAGCCATATTTTCAGGATCGCCAACATTGTTGTGTATATAGTCCTCAATCATTAACTCTTTGTATCTATTCCAAAGTGTTGGTACATCTGTTGGAGTTCCAAAAATGCAAATGTAGGCAAATACCTCTCGAATCTGTGCAGGCATTTTGGATCCTGTCGCTTCTTCCAGCGTTTTGTCCCAAAGATCATCAGTTTCTACCAAATCCTTTGCAATTGCTGCATCCTTGAATGTATCATACATAACTCCATTGACAGTTCTCAGATCCTCATAACATTTAGCTCCAGTCACATTAAGGAGTAGTAGACGCAGATAAAATCTTTCAGTGTCTCTGATACTCACTGTGTATAGCCTTGAAATTATTTTGTTAATACCTTTTTGGCGTAGCTTCCAATTAGTTTCCTTTTTTTCATAAACATAATGAGAAGGTATTTCTGTGTAAAGAAATTTCCTCGCATTTTCATCATATTGATTCAATTTAAACCATGCAATCAATGTAGTATCTCGGTTAAGCTCTCTTTCAGCAGCTTGCTCTTCATTTCCGGCTCGGAAATAAACCATTTGGCGATTAGGCAAATGAACTGCCAGTCTTATTACTGTGTGAGACTTCATGAACAGATTGTATCCATTCAATCTCCACATTGCTTCTGGAGCACTAACATATCTTGCATCCATGAATGAATTAACTTCATCTACTTTAATGAACATTGTGCCATCTCGTGCTTTCACTTCAATTGCAGCACAGTCAAATCCTTTGTGAATGTACTTGTATAAGTATTTTACGCTCTTCACTGATGAGCATATTTCCAAATTGATGTGCCGATCATATCTCATAATTATATATGGCGAATATGGCACTACCCATCGATTGTCAATTTCTTTTCCTCTGACAATGTATTTTTTCCCAGTATTCCTTCGTTGATACATGGGATATCCATTCACATTAGCATTTGTTTCGTCTCGAAACTCTTTTGGAAAGCCCTTTGTGCATTTTCCATCGTTCCCAGTGCAAGAATATCTCCCTGAAAGATCACCACATGGTCCATGAATCATGTGCCTCAGAACTTTTGCATTAAGTTCTGTATATCTTTCTTCGTCCGGGATTTCAACCCATACCATCATATCAATTACTCCTTGAAGTCGAGGCTTCTCTTCCTCACTCAACATTGCAAGTAAATGCATATGTGGAAGTCCTCTTTTTTGGAACTCAATCACGCCTGCATAGACTATTATATTTCCAAAAATTCTATTTTGGATCAACTCCCTCATAACCTCTTTGACGTCCAAGCTGAATATTTTAGCGACTAAATCAGGTCGATACTCTACTTGGCATCCATCAAGGTTCTCCTTAATTTCAGGGCATTGAGGATTGCATGTCATTGTTAGAAAAATATCTGGTTTACCAAACTTTCTAACCAAAGACATAGCATCTTGGTATCTTTCTTGCATATTTCTTGGACTGCCCATAAATGAGGATGGTAATATTACAGGTATACCAGGTGTAATTCCTTCATTTTCTGCTCTATTATGAAGATGATCCATTAGCCCTGAATAAAGTTCAGCTCTTAATTGGGGCTGATTCAATTTAATGTAATTAAGCCTATTCGCTTCAGTTTTCATATAGGCATCAAGTATAAATTGACATCTCAACTTGCGTACCCTTTGAAAATGGCTGAATTCGGCTCTTGGTGCAAGTAAGTGTGCATAATAATCCATTTGAGTTACTTTGAATCCCTATTTAGGATTATCAGTTTTCAATTCTGAATGCCATCCATCGTTACCGTATGGATATAACAAAGGGTAACACATTGAGTCACACCTTCTGTCCAGAATTGAAATTTGTTGGACATCGTTCGAATTTTCGTTATAAATCCGAATGTCTCTCTCGAATGGAGGCTCACCATCTACATTCTGAAAAACCACAGCTATTTCATTAGCTCGTGGAGCATTGTATCTTCTTTGATCTTGTTTTGGATCATTTCGAAAGCACAACATTAAGTTTGGAACCTCAGTGCCTCTCGGATTTAGATCTCTTTCAACCTCACGCATCGTCCTAAATGTCTTTGCAAGTTCATTGTTTTTGACCATGAATACTGACAGATCTTTTATCAGTTCTTGATCACACCCCTGATTGGCTTCGTTATTCATTCTATAATTAACAGCTTCTTCTGTATCCAAAAAATAAAGCTGTGCATAACGCGGGGCTTGCCCATCTCCTGGGCGCATTGCCGTAGATATAAAATGATGATATTGCCCATGAATCTTTAAGCAATAAGGAGCAAGGTTCACAACATCCATTGGATTCCTATTGCTAGGTGCACCCATTGAAACCATAGCTAAAGCGCTGTTATAGGATCGAATATTATCAAGGAAATTCTTTGATAAACTATCATTTCCCATGTATAATTTCTTAAGAAAATCAGGCAAATTTATGGGCTTTAATATAAGCTTGCCCTTTTGACAGCAATATGTAAATTTTCCATCTTTGGGCTTTTCACACGCAAAATTCAATGATTTACAAAATTGACATTTAACATTCATTTTGCCAAGTTTGTGAACAGGCACATTCATTTCATTGCCTTTATCAATTAGCGCAATCTGATAATTCATTTCTTTGGCTTGGCGTCTTCTCTGATCATGTCTCTGAACATCAGCTTCCTGTCGTTGGGAACTTTCCTCATCATTTTCATCGACCCTCTGCTGAGCATGTCTCCGAGCATCAGCCTCCTGTCTTCGAGA